GTAATGGTTTATGTGTTGAAAAATGGTTGTCACATTTTTCAGTGCCACTGTAACTTCCAACGAATGCCAACAAATGGTTGTAAGTTGAGGACTACCTATATTCAGTTGGCCTTACAAGTAAGGAAAATGTATGTACCTAAATAAATATAATTTTCTATCAGATCAGTTGTCATAGAGGGAACCCTTTACTGGGTGGCCTGTAATGGCTTCTCTTAAGGATCCATTGGTAATTTTGCTCTCAATTTATTTTCAATAAGTCGGTGTGCAATACAGTGATGCATTTCACACTGACTGTGATAATAACTCAGATAATAGTTTAGACATCTTGATTTTATATATGTGTGTGTGTGTGTGTAAAACTAAAAACAAAACAAAAAAATCTTTTAGGAGCTGCTGCGTTTCCCCAAGTTGCACGAGGCCATTGTGGAGGTGGTGACAGGAGTCCTTCGCCGGAGACTGCCCATCACCAATGAAATGGTAATTGGGGCTTTTTTGCTATGAATAAAAGTATGGAATGGTCCTTGCTGCTGACATTCCTTCCAGACGCTTTGAAGCTGGTGGCTGTATCTGGAATTTAGAGTGTATAGTATATACACTCTCATATGGCAGCTGTTTCAGTAGACATGGCTAGTCTGAAAACACCTCACAGTGAAGTAATAAAGTTGCACTTTATTGCTCTCTCTACCTACTTCCTACTATGAGCCAGGATGTTTTCTATCATTCCAATTAACTGCAATGTTGTCTGGGGAGCTTAGTATACTTCCAAATGACATATTGGGTTATTTCTATTTTTTTATGAACTCTTCTGGGCTCTTTGTGAGGCTTAGAAGTAGTCTTGGAAATAAACATACTTAAGACTGATGTTTTGCTTCAGAGATCTTGGGCATTATTGATCTTGGAATATTGAGCACACTGTCACCTCACCAGATACCCTAGGCCTAATAATGCCTCTCTCCTAGGTTCATAACCTGGTTGCCATTGAGTTGGCCTACATTAATACCAAGCACCCTGATTTTATAGACACAGCACTGGTCTCTGCCTCAGTGAGCAGTTCTAAGGTAACTTTTCACAGATAGCCTCTACCCTGTCCCTAATGCCTCCCGTTGTCTTAATGTACAGCTTATTCTTGTATTTCTTCCAATCTAGAGTGACACTGCTATAGATGGTACCTGGCGATGGAAAAGTGAGAAAGCAGAAGAACCTGCCACTGATGATAGGCCTAAGGGATCATCCCACTCTTTGGTCTATTCTAGCCCCAGCCGGTCGCATGCAGTCAATCTACTGGACACGGTCAGCCGGGATAAAACTGGGAGGGAGGAAGAGGGAGGGAGAAAGCAGGTGGGCTGGCTAGAACTTAAGCTACTTTTAGGAGCAAAGAATGTTGCAAGGAGTTGCAATGCAGAAACATAAGGGTGAACTGGATGAAGTGCCAGTATTTGCATAAAAGCTACATGAGCTTACCATTAGGTTATTGCTTTTTGGCCCTATAAAATAGACAACTTTGGTTTGTATTTATGTGGCAAGATAGGTTACTACAAAAGGGAACATCAGAATAACAGAGTTTGAAAGGATCTTGGAGGTCATCTAGTCTAACTCCCTGTTCAAGCAGGAGACCCTATACCATGTTAGGGAATAGATATTTATCATCATCTCAGCCAAGGTGTAGAATCTTGAGTAGCTGCTCTCCCAGCTAAGCTGCTATTGCATTTGGTGAACACTGCTCACAGCCATTTCCCCTGCCTCTCCCTAGCCCATGCCAGCAACGAGGAAGCTAAGCCAGCGTGAACAACGAGACTGTGAGGTAATCCGGAGGCTTATCAAGTCCTACTTCCTCATTGTGCGCAAAAGCATCCAGGATAGGTAAGTGGTTGACAGGAAAATTAGGGTAAGCATTAGTGACTGAGCTGTGTCATCTGGATTTAGTACTGCTTCAGCAATGGATATTCTGCTTGTGAAGATTTGAGAATAAGCACTGACTAGCCTAATATTAACAGTGGCACAAATTGATTTTATGCAATTCCTTGTAAAAAAAATTAAGACTTTAGCCATTTTCAAATGAGTGGACAGCCTTTCTTCCTCAACTCTTAAACATTGTTTGGGGGTTTGGGAAACTGCTGTTCTCAAAATTCTTGGTCAGTTTCTGACAAATTTTAATGTTATGTGGTTTCTTGTTGCTGTAATCAGAACATTTTATTTTCTACAGGCACATCAGTTCCCGTGATATTTAATTCAAAGTATTTTGAATAATGAAGCATAATTTGAGAAGTACTACAGATGGAGATTATCTAAGTCAAAAGTGCTATAGTAACCTATTTCTGCTAGCAGTAGGAAAGATGAAATTATACTTGAACAATAACTGTCAAAGAAATTGAGGACTTTCTTTTAAGAATTTGTGATTCCAAATCAATTTATCTGCTTTCCATCCTGTAGTGTTCCCAAAACCGTGATGCACTTCCTTGTGAACTATGTCAAGGACCATCTCCAAAGTGAACTTGTGGGCCAACTGTATAAGCCCCAGCTTCTGGACACACTCCTAACAGAGTCCGAGGACATGGCTCAGCAGCGTAATGAGGCTGCCAACATGCTCAAGGTGATGGAGAGCAGGGTTGCTAGAGGTCAGCTCTGGTTCAATGATGGTGAAAGGAAACTATGTTTCTGGCGCATCTGGAGTAGAACCAGTTTGCTGCTTTAAATCTTTCCCCAAATTGGAAGCGGCAATATTCCCCAAAGGCTGAAAATGGCTGTGTTCCAACCTTTTAAAAGCCTTAAGCATCCCAAGTAGCCTTTTTCCACCTTGGCTCCCTCCATGTGTTGTCTAGCTTCATTTCCGAGACTGAAGGTGGTGTAAGGTTGGGAAAGATCCAAGGAGCCTATTCCAAGTCCCATCACCATTACCACCGGTCTTTTTTTCAGATCAGTGATAAAGCACCCACTTCTCAGATAGCTCACTCAGATAGCTAGCTTTGTCCAGTGTGTTAATTTTCAATACGACCCTTTAATGAAACCATTCTGTTCCCTAGGTTTTGATGTGCACTTTTGCTGGTTAGTTGTCAAGAGTTGGTACGGTATGTCTGGGTCCTCAGACAAGTCTTCTGCTCTTTTGCAGGCCTTACAGAAAGCCAGCCAAACAATATCAGAGATCCGAGAGACTCAGCTCTGGTGAGATGCACTTAAAGCCTCAGAAGATTCTACGTTGCAAGAACATTACTCACCCAGAACCGTGCAAGTGTTCAGCTCTGACTCCCACCTGAATCTTTACTGTTTCCCAAATGGGAAAGAAATTGTGTCCTCGGTGATCAAGTTCTAGTTTAGAACAAGAGTGTGTCCCTATTTTAACTGTGTTGAAATGTCCGTGGTACACGGATAGCATTTTGGAGCCTGCATATAGTGGCTCTCTCCTGCTACCTCATCTGTCTTCCATATTTTTCCAATTTTGCTAGATTCATCAGTATTAAATTCCTGTTTTGATTGTCAAGCTTGCATCCTTAGCAGTTGCTGAATTTGGCCAGTCTACAGTAGAGCAGATTTAATCTAGCTCTAAGTTCTATATATTTCCTGAACATGGTGCATTTGGTACACGTATTGAAATGAAACCTCTTGTCTTGTGTTTGCTTAACTATTAGGAATACACTGTTCTGTATTTGGCTTTGTAAATGCCTTTTATTCTTGTAACTGTTCTACAGGTAAAAAGAGGAGCCTCTTGATAGGTTAAAAATGCCTGAGTAACCTTGAATAAGATAAGTGGTGCCTGACACTAGAGGGATTCATCTACTCCAGCCCAAACAAGGCCCTGATAATGCTGGATCTCATGCTGGACTGTGCTTTCAAAACAAGTTTTACCCAAGAGTCATGTGCAATAACATCACTTATGGGAACCTTCGCCTGTTCCTGGATGCGTGATGGGTAGAGATAGGAACCTGAACAGTTCCAAGTTTGCGCGTATCTGAGCCAAGCTTGCACATTTTCATGAAATAAATTGTGGAAGATTGTACAGTTGGTGTGTTTTGTTTTCTTTAAAGGAAGTCAAAAACAGATGACAATTGTAAGTTACCATTAGGGCACCTGGATCCCGGCAACCATCCCAAAATACCAAGTGCTGATGCTGGGCTTACATTCTAGATTCCACAAGAAAGGACTAGAAAGCAAAAGGATTTGAATGTCTTACAAAATGGATTTTGTAGAGGGTGGACTAGAAGTCAAAATATGTATTTGGGGAATCTGAATCAATTTGATTGACATGGGTTGAGTTTTCTTTACACAAGCTGTCCGGGAATAAATAAGCCATTATTTAAAAAGGAGGATATTTGTAGCTCAGGATTGAAATGATGCGTCATAACCTGATGGTCTGGTTCATTCATCATGCAAGTGCCTTTTCAACATTCAGCGGTTAGTTCAAATTGGTGTGCAAAATTTCTATGGCATTTGGGGACTGGAGCTGCTACCCTAAGACCCTAAGTGTTATTTTCTTTGTTATCCCTTGAGCTTAAAAAGATAGTTAACTGACACCGAAATAACACAACCAGTTGCTGTGGTCTGCAGCACCCTCTGTGAACAGGTGGCTTGACGCTTCTGCCCTTCTGGATGGTAACCATTTCTGCTTGTAGGTGCAGGTTCATTCCCAAAAGACAGACTGGGCTTAGAAAAGCTGCACACATGTAAGGATTATTGTGAGGGAGATCAGTGTTTCTCAACCTTGACAATTTTAAGGCATGTGGACTTCAACTCCCAGAATTCCACAGCCAGCATTGCTGGCTGTGGAATTCTGGGAGTTGAAGTCCACATGCCTTAAAATTGTCAAGATTGAGAAACACTGATCTAATAGGTGCTGCTCTCCTACAGCCTGCAGGGGAATAATTTATAACTTAAGTGGAAAATGCTACTAAAAGCAAGCTCGTGGCTGGCTGGCGTCTGAAGGGTGGAAGGTCTGTTGAATCAAGCTTCACAGGCTGTCAAGTTGCTACATGGCTGATAAGGTAGACAAATAATGGACAAGACAACGCTTTTTCACACAGCAAGGACATTTGATCAATTTATGAAGCATCAAATATACATTTTCATATATACAAAGTGGAACTGATTGGGTGGGGGGGTGAGAAGGAAAGGAAACAAAAATACAGTCAATCTGAGAGAAGGGGCAGAGGGAAAGCCCCATGCTATAGAAAATACATGGGCTGGAGACACCACCCCCCTCGTAAAGGCTGGTATTTATAATATATATTATATACATGGAAATCTGTACAGCAACAAACCCAACACAGGAAGTGCAGTGCAGGGCAGGGACAAAGTGCATGCTCGGGGGTGGGGCACAGGGTGGGAAGACCTGACACGGGTTATTATGTGGGGGAGAAGAGGAACCCAGGACTTTGCAGGGTGGCACACAGAGGCCTGAGCTGCCACCTGATAAGATTCCTGGCTTCCCTCTCAAGGCTGTGGAGCATAATTGGTCGGCAGAGGGCAATGAAGCCTAGTGCTTCCAATCTGTAGGAATCAAGAAACCCTAAGCCTCCTACCATTTGCTCCTCTCCTAGTCTTCCCCCTTCCTCAAAAGAGTGAGAGAAATCTCACCTCACTCAGCTGGCTCCCCTTAGAGCAGTCATTTCTGGAAGTTTAACGGGGCAGCTGAGCAGAGCCTATACAGGCCAGAGCAAGCCATTAAGCCCAGCTTCTCCTCCCTGATGTTCTCTGTTATCACTGACTGAGCAATAATCTTCCTACTTCTGACTGGGGAAGATGGCAGTTGTAATTCAGAGAATCAAGAGGGCAGCGGGTGCGGCCAGCTGGATGAAATATTTTTAGCTTGGGCAACCTCTGAGGCTAGCCTAAATTTCTGCAGCCAGTAGAGCTAACCTTCAGAGGTGGCTAGTCTGAATTTTAGCATGGGTCACTGCTCTACTTTCCTAAGCTAGGGGGGGGAAAATAGTGTGCTTCTATTATTAGAAATCTGGGGAGCACCTCTTTGCATTTTTATTAAGCAATAAAATAATTTCTTCCATCCAAAATCCATAGCATATCCTTAAAAATATAAAAACAGGCACTGTTAATTCAGGCATCATTTCTTTAACTTTCTGAAATGATGACTTGATATCGTTAATCCAGCCTTTTCTCTCTTTGTCCAAAGCTAAAACCAGAAGAACCTAGAAGAAGCTCACCTCTAACATTACTAGGCAAGGTAGGTGAGTGGCAGAACAACGTAGCACCTCGAGGGAAGGAAGAAGGTGAGGTCTGGATGTGCCCCATAAGCTTGATTTGGGACAGCAGAAACCGGATGCCATCTTTTTCTGGAAACACAGCGCACAGGGATTAAAGTGCATCTAACTTCCCAAAGGAACTAATTGGGAGAGAATCCTACTCTGCCTCCTCATTACCAGGCATTAATGCACTGACTGGATGAAAAATCAATTTAGGAGAGAAGAGATCACAACAGTTTACTCTCCACTCTCCAATTCAATCGGGGGTGGGTTTAGAAAGCCCAAGAATATAGAAGTCTGTATCTTTAAAAACAGATTCAGTGCAAACCCCAGAGCAGGGGTGGGGAGAAGAAGGGAGTAAAAATAGCCCTTTATGAATAAGAACCGAGAGGGCAGGACACATTCCCTTCCCATGTCCCAGACTTCTCCATACTTTGGACTCGTCTCTTCCCCACAGATCCTTCACATCTCCCATCCGAGTCTCTTTCCTTTCTCTACTTGAAACAGCAGAAACTCACAAACTGTGCAAATTACCAAGACAGCCTCTCTTCATCGCCTCCCCAAAAGAGTAGGGGGCCCCAAGGACTCATCATCTCCACACGCTGCAGGTGACTGACAGATGTTTCTTTCTCTCTATGGAGCAAGTCAACAGGTAAGACAGCTTTGAAGAGGAAGAGCCTATTTTCCAAAATACAAAGTATTTGTCTAGTAATTGGTGACACTAGAAGGGCAAGAGAGGGAAGACCGATTGAAGGTATCTAGGACACCAAAACCCAGAAGCATCTTTGAGGAGCAACCTGCGCAAGGGGCATTGTGTAGGTAGGTGTAGATATTGCCTTTTCAGATATAATAAAGCACCTGCTTGAGTTTTTTTCCCTGTGGTAATGAACCCCCCCCTTGTTAGGGACAGGAAGGCCTACTCCCATCAGCACTAATATCAAAGTCAGAAGTTACTCAGCAAAAACAGTTGCTTAACACCGCAGCAGTTCCATGTCACAGCCAGGGGTTTGAAAGTGGGTATTAAATAAAACTGACTCCAACTGCTGTCAAGTCATGGCAATAAAAACATTATAGGTGAGAATGGGCAATATGATCTTTTCCTTGCTTGCTTATTCCAAAAGGGGCTGCTTTTCCCCAAATAAGGACAGATCATTGGGAAAAATGGAGGCTTATGAGGACTTGCAAGGTGAAAATGGCAGGCTTGAGAAGGGCTAAACTCCTGGTTCCTGCTGTACGTCTTCTGCACGCACATTTTCTGTGCCACTTTGCAGAATTTGACAGTGAACAAAATAGTGTATGTAGCCCCAAAGCTTCACCTATTGTCTTTAGAACTCTGTTCCATTTTCTGCATGCACTAGGGCTGTTTGCAATGAGGAAAAGTAAGTTCATGGTCCACAAGACCTATTAAAATCTGGGTTAATCAGATTAAAAACATGTTTTGGGGTAAAAAATGAGAGATTCTTCTTCAGTCATTCTTCTGAGTAAAAATTACATTAGAAAGCAGGATTCATAAATGCCATTTGCAGTTTAAACGTGACACATAGAAGGCAGCCATAGGGACTATCTGCTACCTATTAAAATTTTTAAAAGACAAAGCTTTCCCTCTTATCAACAAAAAAGAGAAAGAAGAAAAAAGACTTCTGAAAAGTCTTGTTTGGATTAGTGCTTTCTGGAGAGAGGATCTGAGCAGCTTAAAATATGAAAGTCCTTTATACAACTTCCTCTGCACATTAGAAACCAACACACTGGGCAAGATTGCCTGGGAGACTAGCTGGTATCCCACATACAGCAGGTACTATGATTACCTCTGCCCACTTCTGACAATGGGAGCATGTAGCAAAACCATATGACTGATTCCTTCCTTCCTTCCTTCCTTCCTTCCTTCCTTCCTTCCTTCCTTCCTTCCTTCCTTCCTTCCTTCCTTCCCATCACCCCATCATGAAGTGATGCTATCAGAAAAGAATTTGCTGCTCCCAAACACACAAATGTTACTAAAAGTTGGGATGAAAAATTTTACCTGTTTGGCCATACTCCTAAGACAACACAAACAGAAACTTGCTTTCCACGACACTGCAGCTTATGCTTTTGCCATCCACGGTCACCACAAAACTACCCTGCTGTCCGCAGATGCTCAGAAAAAGATGGTAGGAGTGAGGACAGATGACCCGCAAGGAAAAGAGGCAGAGCTCCCAAAAGCAAAGCCCATATGAAGCTGTACCCCCCTCAGGCCACGTGCGGCGTTGCAGGTCCAGGCTTTCTTCCTTTCCAAGGGATGCCCTCTCTCAGTTCTGATCCTAGGAAAAAGAGGGATGGGATGTGGAGTGGGGAGGAGGAAAGGGAATGGCCATAAAATCTAGACACCCTCCTGACCTCCATCCTTCCCCATCACTTCGGCTGGAACAGGGGAGGCCCCAAGCTCTGTTATTTATATATTTATAGATCTGCTATCAGTTCCATTGTGGTGGCAGCTGCTCACACAACGGTGCTGATTCTGTTGACCGGCTTAGGCTTGGGATTTGGGGGCCCTTGAGCAGGCATGGCTGGAGGACCCCCCTGGTGCATGGGCATGTGCTGGGCCAGAGGGGACGTAGGAGCGGCTGGAGAGTGGGGGCTGAGAGGCGTATGGGGCGATGGAGGGGGAAGAGGTGGATAAGAAGGGTGCGGGGGAATGGGAGAATGAGGTGGGGGCATTGGGGGTTGGCTGTGGTGTGGCGGATGGCCATGATGCCCAGGATATGGTCCCATGCCAGAGGGCAGAGGAGGTCGCTGTAGGAGCTGTGCGGGATGATGGCTGAAAATAAAGTGCTTTGGGGCCTGCTGCCTGTGCAGGGTGTGCTGCCCAGTGACCCCTGACTGATGCAGTTGCTGGGGGTAGGTGTGGGCCAGGGCATGCTGAGGGGCAGGGCTGTAGAGGGGCAACGGCGAGATGGGCTGGCGCCCATGAGGGAAGGGAGGGTGCTGGGAAGCGGCAGCAGGCATCTGGTGGCGCTTCTGCTGCCCAGGCCGACCAAGAGTGTAGTGGTGGTGGGGTTGTGGTGTCGGGAAAGCGGGCACTGCCTGCTTCTGAGGGGGAGCCGAGAGAGGAGGCTGCTGGGAATGGTGGTACCGCTGGACCTGAGGTGGCAGAGGGTTGGAGGGCAGGGCCAAAGGTGGGGGTGGGGGAGCTGGCTGCTGGGGGGGCGGGGGCTGCTGGGGATAGGGGGGTGGGGGCTGGGCAGAGGGGCTATGGCAGTACTGGGCATGAAGCGCCTGCAGCTTAGACTGGCCGACATCAGGGAGAGAGGGGTGGCTGTGATGTGGGTGGTGCTGGGGCAGATGATGGTGGGACGAAGACGCTGAAGAGGAGGATGCCGAGACCTGGCCAGGGGGAATCTGGAAAGGGCCCTTCCCACGCTTGCTGCCAAACAGGGAGCCCAGGAAGGAGGACGAGTTCGAGGGGGGCCGAGGCTGGGGCTTGTATTCCTCTGGAGGAGGTGGTGGCGGCACCCTCTGATGGGGATGTGGGCTGCTAATGATAGACCCCTGGAGGACACAAGGGATATGGGTGGAAAGGCAGAAGAGGAAGAGAGGAAGAGAAGGGAGAGAAAGATGGGGCATTAAACAACCGGTGTCTGTAAGCCCCCCTAGGCCGACAGTCTGGACTTCCCTAGATTTGCTCAGGCAGGCATGGCTCAGATTAAACTAAAAAGGTCTGGGAAAGGAAGCCAAGGTTCCCACAGCAAGGTAAGGATTCACATGCTCTTTGGCCTCCCTCTGGAGGTGGACAGAAAAGAAGAGACGGAAGCTGCAAGGCAGAAAGCGGGAGAAGGACGGAGGGACCCCACCTGCATCCCTCTCCTCCCTCCTCCACCCATCCTGGGCTGCTCTTCCTCTAGCCCACTTACTTCAATTGTGCTGTCCAAGGATCCCACGCTGTTACGGCGGCCCCGCTTGCCTGCAACAGAGCAGGGGTTAGCGAGACCTGAACTTCACCCCTTTCCCTTTGCGCCAACCCTCCATTCTGAAGGGGGAAGAAAGTGCCCCCATCCCATCCCACCAAAGCAGAGCAGCAGAGCAAAGGCAGAGTTAGCAGAGGAAAAGAGGGAAACAGAGTGTCTTGCCCTTGTTCACCTCATTTTAGTACATAGCAAGCCTCTTCTACTGCAGTACAATTACTTGGGTCGGGGTACACAGCTATCGTGCACCCATCACCTCCGACCTCTGCATTCCTCCTGAGACTCAGAGTGCAACTACATTTCTTCCTCACTCAAAGTTCGGAAGAGAGAAAGAGATCCATCCATCCATTCACCAGCTATTTGATAAATTCTTAACATTCCAAAATCCTGAGGATTTCTTATTCCTGAATCAGTTTTATGGAAGAGAAGTAAATGATGGAAATCTTCTTCCAGACATAAAGGGTGTTTTAAAAAAAAAACAGTAGAGGGAGCCATAATAATTATATTTTGGAGATAAACTGATTTCTGGGATGGAATTAAGTTTGAATGGAGCTGGGTTTTTAAGAGAGCTGTGACAGAGCCAGTTTTAACAAATTCAAATGCTAAAACCTTGTCCTTGGCTGCATTGCTCCAGCTTAAAGGTGGTGATGGGTGCTCCATCTTGAAAAACTCCCCTCATGCAAAATCTTCCTGCAAGTAGAAACCTAGGAAGCCAAGGGAGAAAGGTTCAGTCTGAATTTCTCCCTATTTTTTTTTTTTTACTTGCAGGGATTTCTGTTGTTCGTAAGAGAGCATCTGAAGTAAACAACCATTTAAAGCAGAGGTGGCCAGTCAACAGCCAGGACCCCACAAGCCCACAAATGCTACCAAAACCTGGTGGAACAGTAACACACCATTTTGAGGTAGCGTATGTATATTCATAGTTAGCTACAAAAGAGGCTTTTCATAGTTTTAAACAAGAACACTTTAAATCCCCCTCTGCCAATCCCGGAAAACCGAAAAAAGAAATCTCAAGTCTGTTGATTTAGCCAAGAGCCACAGCTCTGCTCACTGTGGCCCTTGGCTTCCCCAAAATAGTTGTCCACGCTCAATCCAAAACCTGAAGTAATACAGTTAGGAATTGTCCCGGCAGATCCTGTCAAATGCATATATTAGCTCAAATTCTGGAACCCAGAACCTGGATACCAGAAGGGCAACTATGCATTGCCAGCTGCATTCCTAGAGAGGCCTCCAGGAGACTGATGATGTCATCTGCTACATTCTGCCACACATTTCCGTTTCGTGGAATCTGGTGATATTCCTCTTAGGTTCTCCTCAGCATAAATGGAGAAATTCTGGTTCTTTCCTGATCTTCATCCCAGCCCTGAGCCTCCCACGGTCTCTTCTCCTAGAGCCATAGAGAGAACCTAGAGTCCTGAACCCCTGTCCCTCACCAGCATCAGAGAGGTCACGCAGGGAGCTATTGAGGGCACTTCTCTTCAGGCCCTCTCCCATAGTATAGGCATCCTCTAGACTGCTCCGGGTCAGGGTGCCATTCATGGTGTCCTTAGGCCCAGAAGAAGGAGAGGCGTTGGGGCGCATTACTCCTTTCTGTTTTTCAAGTTCCGCTGTGATGGAAGAATAAGACAGAAGCAGACTGGTTATTTACAGATCTTAGGATGGTGCCTCAGCCTTGAGTGACAGAGCAACCCCATTTCGGATTTATAATGGCGCAATGCAAAGGCTACGTTTGGAAATAATAGAGAAGTACCACGAATATTTGTGAAATATCCTCCCAGATGGAAGGACAATAACTTCTAAACACAGGTAGCTTATGCAATATTCCCACCTCACTTCTAAGCTTTCAAGTACTTGCCCATTTTCAAATACATTCCCTGTAATAACAATCTGGACCACAGCAGTTCTTCACTCACATTCCACACGGTATTTCTCCATCTCTTGCACTTCAGCAATGGACTCCCGCAGGTCACTTGTGAAGCGCAATCGATCCTGCAGACTGGGGGCATTGAAGATGATCAGGACTTTTCGTTCCCCACCGGGGACAGCTGAGAGTAGTTTAATCCCGTACTGGTAATCTGGTTGGAAGAAAGTCAGATGATGGGTGATGAGGAGTCTGTGGCAAAGCAAGGATGGCAATCATGAAATGGGCCAGAGTGATGGAATATTCCTGAAGGTTAGCCCAAGAATGAAGAACTGAAGGATATATAACAGCAAAGAACAAAGGCCCTTCAAAAGCTGGCTCACAGCAGGGAAGATAAACATGCCTGCCCCAGCTGGACAATTCCAGGCTAGTTTGGATTGCATTCTCAGCCTGCCTGGAAAGCACAGGGCAAGAAAGGTCTGGGTAGGTAGGGGATCCAATGACTCTGTTGTTGCTGTAGGAGGCACTGAAGGTCCAACAATTCTTCTTTAAAGGGGACTTAAAGGATCAAGATGGGGAGAAGGAGATAGATTATAATAGGAGCAAGTAGTAACGTATCATGGAGTCTGAGCCCAGAGAGAGGTGACTATAAGGCCTCCCAGTTGGGAATTTGGGCAGGGACACTCACAGGAATTCTGAAAGAGCTGTAGCTGCATCTCAACAAGTGGGAAGCTCTGGCGGAAACTGTAGGTCACAAGGATCTTCTTCTTTTGGAAAATCTTTGTCACCTAAATGGAGGAGAGAGAACCATGAGTCAACCGCCATGCTTCATTTCCTAATCTACAACTCACTGAAAAAATAACGTATACATTTATGTAATACTAAAGATATAAAACGGAATCTCTTTTCATATGGCTGGACGCAATTGACTCTAGCAACTTTTTAAAGAAAGTGCCACATGAGTCAGTCCAGTATTTTCATCTCACATTAGTCATAAACTGTACAAAATGAGTGTCTAATTCATCACAGGTTTTCACAGCAAACTGGGATGTAGCTGCATGGTGGAAGCTCTCGTTGATATCCCTCTCAGACACAGCTTTGAAATTCTAACTTTTAAATTGCTTTTTAAAAAACAATAATTTTACAACACTATGATGGCACTACCAGTCAAACGCCTTTCAAATGGGCATAAATTTTTAAAATTTCGTTTATATGTCTATCTTTTCTTCTTAAAAGGCCTCTTTCCTTCCCAGTAAGCAGTTTTACCAGAAAGCCCATTTTCATTATTCTAATCCATCAGTCTATCTCCAGCATTGAAATACTCTCAGTATTTCCTCTGTGACGTTGGCTCAACTAGATAGGCAAAAGAGAAAAAGAGATCCAGGATGTGGCAAGCCGGCAAATGGCCCAATTTGATAGAAACAGAGCCTGTCTAGGCCCCTTTGCTTCTCAACAACGCCCATCTTGTTCCAAGCCTTTCATCACCTGGGTTTTTCAAAACTTTTGCATGAGAAGACAGAAACTTTCCCAACTCTATCTCTTCCCAAAGAAGCTGAATTCCCTCACCCCCCCTTGACCTTACCACTAAGAGGTCATTGAAGAGGAAGACTTCCCTTTGGTGCAGGCCAAGCCTCTGGGGCCGGTTGGGATCGGGGACCTCATACAGCTGGCAACAGCACACCAGGCGCCTATGGGGCAGAGAGAGAACCTGGTGGGATAGAGAGGAAGAACATGCTGGGAACAGATCTGGAAAATAAGTGCTTGGGAAAGCTCTCTTTGCAAACCACAGTCGACCATCCCTGAAGACAGCTTCCACTCACCGGCTTTTTGCCCACAATCATGCGCTCAACTGCCTGGACCTGAGAAACGTGATCATCATTGGTGCGCAGTTCTCGGCTCTGTATCCGCTGGTAAATCCCTACCAAGAGGTCACGGGGAATATCCTCCCCATTATCAACCCCTGGCAAAGAAACCAAGAGGGGGAGTCAACAGAGAACAGAAAGGCCACATTTAGTCTGCCTAATAATACCGTAACCACATAGCATACTATTGTATGTTTTAGGCCTTGTAGGCCAGTCACAGCCTTATGCTTCAGTGTAATTTAAAAAATGAATTTTTGCAAGAAATTCATTCAGATCTCTGGCAAGATTTTATTTCACAGGTCCCTGGCAGCATATCATTAGGGAGGGAGAGGGGAAAAAAGGGAAGGGGAGCAACAAGTGCCACAAAGAGAAAATGAAAATGAATGACCTATGTAATAAGTGGTGACTTTGTTCTTGCACCATTTATCTCAAACCTGTCCTTTGCCACCACATGGCCCCCATAGATTGCATACTGACAAAAAAGCATTTTTCACACGCAAAAAATTGTTCAAAATAAACCCATATATCATTTTCAAAGCCTGCAACAGCCCTGAAAGTTAGGCTAGTACAATTCCCATATTGGGAACTGTGAGAATATATACTGCCACCAAACAGCCTACAGTAAAATAACAATAAATAGCTGCTTTGGAATTGCATCCAAGGCGCCTATGACTATTGATTCTTTCTTTGCTTTCTTTGTTCTATTTCTATTTGCAGGTCTTTGCATTTTGTGATTTTTCTCCCCAGTTCCTTCTCCTAATCTGTCTCCAGTTACTGCCACATCTACTATCTACACTTTTTTGTCTTTCTTATCGACAATGGTTAAGTCTGGGGTGTTATGGGGCAGGTCTGTTTGAAGTCTAAAGTTCAAGAGTATTGTAGCTTCTTCACTTTCTATTATTTTCACTATTTTATGGTCCATCAGTTCCTGCTTGCAAGCAAATAGTATTTCTTGCAGATATTCCAGTGCACCATTGCTGCTGCTTTCTCATGCTGTTGTTTATAGTCAGTTCTGTGTGTTACATTTTAAATTTACTGACAAAGAATTAAAGGGAGACTAGTATAGCTATTTCGAACTATTTAGTTCTCATCAGCTAGCAATTTCGAGCTATTTAGCTCTCATACTAGTCTCCCTTTAATTCTTTGTCAGTAAATTTAAAATTTAACACATAGTCTGTCGCAGAATGCGAGTGCCTGTGAAGGCTCCTAGATTGGGGCTAAAAGGCAAAAGCGGAAGCAGTATAGTCCATCCCATATTTGGGTAGACCAGGTTGCCCTGATAGATCTGTCTCACCGGAAAACACTTCAGTTCTATCTGCTCTTCTTGCAACGGCTAACTCTTAAACATTATTGGCATTGACAAAATCACCACCAGTCAATTGCAAAAGACAGTTTCTCTTGAAATAGCTTACATCCTTTGATGATACCTTTTATACCATCAAACAACATCTGCCTATCTCAGGTCCTTGGGAAGGATTCGATAGGTGGATAAAAGTGCCAGATCCAGTGTAAACATCTGGTTGACCATGCCACCAGACATAATAATCATAATCCTATCCAATTCAGCCCTGGGCAACATTTGTTCATAATCCAGAAAATTCTAGGTCCTAAACATTCCCCAGAAACATGATCTGGGCAACTTTTTCTATTATGGAAAACAGAGGTCTGTCAACCGAAGCTGTTCTTCAGTCCACAATATTCTGGCTATTATGTTTAATCCAAATTGATCTTCATTAAAAAAATCATTTAAAAAGCATTTGATCAAAACAATATCAATTTCTATTTTGAAATAAATCATACCATTGAGTTCAGGTTGTACTTCCTTACCATTTTAATTGAAACTGGTAGTAGCTTTGCTCATGGTAATGAGTTACATATAATCATACAGTGTGACAGCTGGAAGGAACCTTATAAATCATCCACTACTGCTGACCATCCAGCTCTTTAAAAACTTGCAGCAGGACACCACTGTTCCAGATAGAATATTCAGCTGCTTAACATTTCTTACCATTAGGAAATTCTTCCAAATATTCAGCCTAATCTTTTTTTTTAAAATAACAAAAGTCAGTGTTTGTTCTATCTCCAGTTTCAACAGACGGCTAATCATTTCTATTTTTCACTGGACAGTCTTCTCTTTGGAAGCTAAACATGACTGTAACTGGTTTTTTTTTCCATTCCTTAGTTTCCAGAGACCTTATTGTCCTGATAATTCTCCTTGCTTCACCTTCTTCATGTCCTTTTCAAAACACAGTGGCCGGAATTGAACACCGTACTCCTAATGCGGAGTAATCAATGCAGAGCACAAAGGTATGATTACATCCCACAGTCTGGATGCAATGCTGCCTAAGATTGTATCAGTCATTTGAACTGCTGCATCGTTGCTGGCTTATACTCAATTGGGGGTCCACTAGGACCCTTAGACCTTCTCATATACATTGCCCTCAAGCAGGTTCTCTTCAATCTTGTATCTCTGCATCTGAATTTTCCTACACAGATGAACAACTTAGATTTGTTCCAATATTCAAGCCTTCTGAAATATTTTTGAACCACAATTTTGCTTTTTAAGGTGTTAGCTATTTCCCCTAGCTTGAAGTCATCTGCAAATTTATTATAATAATTTGCTTTTTATATATTTTTATTTTCTTGTTTTTTCATAGTTCATTATTGCTGAGTCACCTCTAAAGAAAAAGGAGAGGCAATGTTTAAGATGACACCTTACTATTTTCATACCCAAAGCTTTGAGTAGCTTGTATTAAAGTATTGACAAATTATGTCTAGGTATTATAAATTTTGGACCAAAACAAGCAGAAGTCTGGAATGCGCAATCTCTTTCTTGCCATGTAATTAATTTCTTATTATCTTAATCATTTGCAATAATTAATGGCACTGAAGTCATGTCTCCAAAATTGCTGCAACCTTTTCTTGCATCTCTCTAGCTTCTGAGATTTTACCAAACTTGCTCACAAACTTGCAAGTATGTATTCTCAGCTTTGAGAACAAGGAAGAAATTGCTGGGTTTAAGGCCCAAGGTTCAAGCCTTCTGAAATAATTTCAAATCATGATTTTGTTCCTTAAGATATTACTCCTTAAGATATTACTCCTCCCACCAACTTGATGTCATCTGCAAAAATGATATAACAATTTGCTTATTCTTTACTTTTATTTATTATTTTTTCATAGTCCAGTATTGTTGAGTCACCTCTAAAGAAAAGAAAACTAAAAACTTTCAGAAACCAAATGGTGCATTCACCAGTTCACCATTTTCTGAGCTCCCACAGAATTACACATAAGTACAGACTGAAGAGAGCAGTGAATGACATATATTCTGCATGGGAATCAAAAGAAAAGCAAAGAAGCAACAGCAGCAAAGATGTTGGGAATTCCAGAGACTTTTTTTTAAAAAAAGAGGATTCTTACTTACCCCGCAGGTTTTTGATGAAGTCATCCAGCTTCATCTTCCTCTCTGCTTTGACACTGGGGCTATACATGTCAGTGTTGAGAAGGATGATGGCAAAAGCTAAGATGAAGATGGTGTCAGGGTTCCGAAACTGGCGCACCAATGGGGCATTGCATACACAGTAGCGCTGGCTGGAAGAAATCGGGTTGAGGTTATGACAAAGAAGCAAACAATTCAGATGGAAACGCACTTCTCAGTTCTCATGAACGGTACATTGGGCTCAAGCCATAGCCCACCATTAAAAAATATTGGTCATAGATACTATTTGAATATCTAAATAAACCTTTAGCCATGAATTTGCAGGTAATATATAAATATATGGGCATATTAACCTATTTATCAGTTTTAAGATATAAAATCAATTTTTGTAATGCTAATCGACTGAAAATTTAGATCATGAATCTTTTGATTAATCTGATTAATACAGCCTTACCAACTGATTCATGTATTAATATATTCAAATATTAATTGGTAATTTGTTAAATTTATATGCCACCCATCTCAGGGAAACTATGAGTGGCTGAAACAATGCTGAAACACCAGTGCCTGGTAAACCATGCAACCATTAGTTAGAAATGAATACTGACTATCTATGAGGTGAAGGAAAATGGAGATTACTAACAACAGACTTGTAACAAATTGTGCTTTTATATCTGCAGCATTTTGATTTAACTTAACCAGGAATTCCAGAGTCACTCCAAAACCTGACTTCATACTTTCCACCGAAGAAGGGAATTCTAGCAATATTTTAAAAAGGGGGAGATTTTGTGAAGGTGTTTCACTAAGTGTGAATGCCAGGCAAGTAAGACAAATGAGGAGGGAGGGACTGATCCATAGAGAGGAAGCTCATATTCTCAAGGCTGCTCCCAGTATTTAGGGAGTTAAGCTCCATTTCTGAACATGCTTTCCCATGTGAACTACACCTCATTATTCTGTCCAATTCTCTTGATCTCTGCTTCTTAAAATAAATTCTCCAGTCCTGCAATTATTTCATAAAAGTGCAGCTGGTGGTAGCAAAAGAAATAAGACATGCTATGGTATTCTTAAAGACTAAGTTCTTCACCTTAAGCCTGACAAATTACTTCACTTATTCAAGATGATTGGCTGAAAATCTTATCACACGCTGGCCTGTGGTGCATTGTATTTCTCTACAATGGAAAAAAGACTGCTGTTTTTTGTTTTTTTTTACCGTGAGCATCCTTTCAGTGTGAGAGTAGATGGTTTTGTCAGGCTCATACATTCGCATTCTACTCTGATAAATGGACTGAGTGGATGAGACTGATGCCAATAGATACAGGCAGACAGGCAGACATATTAAACATATCACAACATGTTTTATACACTGTGGAAATAAGCCTGCACACCTAGGAGACTTGTGTCTATAAAACCTATGCACAAGAATCAATACACCAATATTCCCTTTCATTATTAGCAAACCAACATCTTCAGCCAGCCTGATATTAGAAAGAACCAATTAGCTGAATATACCAGCAGGCTAGCAGAAGCTCAACAAGAAATCTACAAGAATGATAGCTGAAGAACAAAATTTGATCCAAGGTATTGGAATTACAACTTCCACTGATCATATCCAGCATCATAAATGTTTGCTAAGTAGGACAAAGGACACAAATGACTAAACATACATGATGATATTAAGCAAACAATATAAATTAGGGAGTTGCATCAGACATTGGGACACAAAAACATAATCATAGCATTTACATCAGGGGTTCCCAACCGGGGGTGCTCACACTCCCTGGGGGTGCTCAACAATATTCCAGGGGGTAAGAAAATGTGGGTTTTCAAAATTATAGTGTATATGCATAATTTGTTGCTGTTGTTTTGATCTTTTGTAAGGGGTGCAAGAATATATCAGAAGCGTTCTAGGGATGTGGAGTATAGAAAAGGTTGGAAGCCACTGATTTACACGATGCCACCATCACATGTGCTAACTTGAGGATATGATTTGCTGCACAAGTTGCTGTCAAGCATGGTCATAGACAATACAAATTCACAGGGATTTTTGGACAAAGCCATACATTTCTATTGCCTGTGGTCTGTTTTCTAGACTAATCTCTCCTCTCATACTTCCAAATGCTAAAGGAAACTGTGGAAAGATGGTTCCATCTTCAACATACCTGAAGGCCTCAATGAGACGCTCCACCTTCTGGGCCTCACCTTGCACCCGAATGTGTGACTGGAACTTTCTCAGGGCATCATCCAGGTCCATGCTGGAGAAGTCCATCTCATCTACAACACAGCTATGAAGCAGAAAAATACAGGGAAGGAAAAGAGACACATTGGTTCAGTACAAATAAGGTTGAGCACCGGGAGACCATGAGCTCTTATCCCACCTCAGACACAAAATGAGTTGTGTGACCTTGAGCTAGTCACTCTCTCAGCCCTAGGAAGGAGGCAATGACACACCACTTCCAAAAAACCCTGCCAAGAAACCTATAGGGACTTGTCCAGGTAGTCACCAGGTGTCTACAATGATTTGAAGGCATGTATGCACACACACACACACACACACACACACACACACACACACGTATAAGGATATTCCTTCCTTTGTCCATCTTCATTTCCAAGTCCATATACTTCCTTTAAAATGCTCATATAAACAGTAAGGCTTACTTTGAAGAAACTCTTAGAAATCCCTTCACAATTTTTAAAAGCAGTTTGTAGGATAAGAAAGAAAATAATGGATCACTTTATTTAACCATTTCTCTCAGCACAAAATGCACTACATCCCAAATTAGTAGCTGATTCTTCTAGAGACCATTCAGAAAGAGAAATTCCGCAAGCATGATTACTTCTTTGATGATGTTTAAATTGTTGCTTTCTTGTAAAATTTGTTCATTTCTCTCTTCCAACAGACATCTTTTAAAAATATCTAAGAATAAGTAATATGTCTTCTTTTCTAAAGGCCAATATTTTATCTAATCTAAAGTCATTCTCTACAAAAGTTCTCTTGTCTTCAATAGCATGAAAACAGCAAGTTAATATTAAAAACAAGCAAGTTATAGCTTTACATAAGGCTTAGGGTCCAGGTGGACTGTACGAAGCAAAATTGTGACAATGGGAAGGAAAAATGTGTAGATCTCCTTACTCAAGTACATCTCGGTTGAACTGCTTCTGCCGGTTGCCAAGAAATTCTCCAATCATCTGCCGGCTCAGCCCCTTCCGCTCCAGGATAAATCGGGCCACGCCCACCGGCGTATCCGACAAGAAGCCTCTCTCAATTAAATACTGGATCCCCTTTTCTGGTTTCCTGCCAGTGGGATGAGAAGAATTCATGTATTCATACTTGCCTGAAATTGCTTTTGTCCCAAACCCATTTTCCTTCCATCTCCTTTATTAGAGAAGAAACACTGACCCTTTTCCAAATAAGCTTCTGTTTCCAAAAAAACACTATAACTTTGTCTCTACTGTATATTAAAATTCTAGATATTCACTATGAAAGTATCCTGAATGCCCAGCCTGATATAGTTTTGTATCATTTATCTGGGAGAATAAGAAAGCTAGTGAAAGCGTCCTTAGTTATGGAATGTTAGTTATATTTATTGCAGTTTGCTAAACATTATAGAGAGTTAATGAGTTTTCGTTCATTTTGATCCCTTCCCTGAATTCCATCGGTCACATTACCAGATCCAAGACTGAATTAGATTTATAATAATAATAATAATAATAATAATAAAGTTGGAAGGGACCTTGGAGGTCATCGAGTCCAACCCCCTGCTCAGGCAGGAAACCCTACACCATTTCGGACAAATGGCTATCCAGTCTCTTCTTAAAAACTTCAAGTGTTGGAGCATTCGCTGCTTCTGGAGGCAGGTTGTTCCACTGGTTAATTGTTCTAACTGTCAGGAAGTTTCTCCTTAGTTCTAGGTTGCTTCTCTCCTTGAATTAAGGAGATTATGAAATGAGATTATGCAGAACCAGATATTCCTCCTTTAAAGCAGCTACAGAAAGCCCCACCAAGCTGACATATGAGGTTTCATTGCCATAGTTGGCAACAGATTGATGAGCCTTCAGGTGTGCTTACTTACACATGGTATAAGAAAGAGCTGGGGAGAAGATGTAGGTGAGGTGGGAATTAAGCCATCCCATTTACACCTACTGCCTTCCAGATGCTGCTGCTAGCCAGAGGGCTGGAGAAGATGGGATCTAAAATCCAGAATCTATGAAAGTAACCTCCACACTGACTTCGGTCAAAGAGAAGAGTATTAATATTTCAAATAAATGGACTGTTCAGATGGCTTGCTAGATAAATTATATTTTTTTAGTATAATTAATGATGTCACTTGAGAAAGTAGGGCCATTCTTTAAACCCCCTTTTCCACTTGGGGTGAGAGATTGGTTTTCTAAAGCCTTAAATAATAAGGAAGGAAAGATTATAAGGCTGAACATTGCCATTTACCACTGAATATTCACAGTATGATCCTATACGTAGAAAAGGGGGGGAGGCTTGGAAAAAATGGAATGGGGGGGCAAGTTGTTCAGCCATGCTTGTGATCTGATATCTCGAAGCCTCAGTAACTTAGCTGATAAGGAGCAGTGAAGGCCTCAGAAGGCAGAAATATTCAACATCTTTTTAAAGTCTGTTCTTCCGGAAGTCTATTCTGCCACCAACCGAGCTCCCTTACAGCCACAAGATGTCAGCATCACCCTTTTCATTCTCTGTTTCTCCAAAACACATGCTTGAGATTTTTGAAAAGAGGTCAGTGGTTGGGGAGGGGGAGGGGGCAGGGGCAGACAAGGAATTTCTGTATCCACAAGAAATTAAGTGGAAAGCAGTCAAGCGCCACCAAGCCATACCTTACCAGATTCTTTTTTCTGATTGCCCAGAATGTAATAGTTTAAGGGACAAGTATGAGGCATTAAATTAAAGGTGCTCCAGGGATTGCATGTCCCACTTGGTGCTGTTAAAACCTTAGGACTCCAAAACAGAGAACATAATTCTCTGAGCTGAGAAGAGATAAGCAACAGGAGGCAGTGAGCTTAGACTTGTGGGCATGAGCAGCTTTTGCTCACGATTACAGGTTTTAGAGCAGAGAACTTCCTCACAGACTGTTGTCCTCATCTATTAATCTGTGTTTAAGTCTCGGGGAGGTTTAGATTTCCTGCCTTAGGTACCAAAAGGCCCTATCATGGACCAGACTAATTCCTCAATTGCCAGATTGAAGGATGCACACAGAAATAAATGCTCAAGGATCGCCTCCAGGAGGAAGGGCACAGAGATTTCCTATCCTGGCACATTGCCCCAGGCTTCAATGTGAGTCATGATTCCAGCTGGTTAATGTGATGTGACAGCGGGCTTCCCAGCCCCCAAGAGCCTGCTTCCTGCCAGTGATAAAGATGCTGTCTGGCTCAACAGCAATTAAAGCTCTAAGGACCAGAGGTAGCTAAAACCTAAGCCTTCCACCATCACTTTTGCTTTGACCTAAAGACCTGATAGACACTGTAGGAAGCAGCCACTCAAATGGAATAGCTGGGGAAAAGCAACAGGGGCACAGAAAGGTATTAGGTGAGGTCTCCACCTTCAGACTGGCAATGGTCCTGTCCTTTAAAAAGATGAAACTCTCCCCTTATCATTTATCTTACACCATCAGGCTGGAAAAAAATTCATTTGCTTAAGTTTGGTATAGCAGAGCCCATGTTGTTGTTGTTTTATTAAGGTAGCAAAAGGTAGCAGTAGAAATAGGTAAAAAGGAGATAATGCTATATATTTAGGATTGAAATCTCATGTTTCAAAATTTGGGGATGAGAGAAGGAAAGGGAATCAGATTTTTGGAAAGCACAATTCCAAGTAAAATCCAGTTGCTAAAATAACCATCCTTCAGGTTGTCTACTGGGTGTCTCTAGGAAAACCTTCAGAAATAGAAGGCTGCATGCGTGAAGATTAAGAATTGTTGCCCAACATATATATATATACATACTGTGGGTATCCATGTTTTTAAAACTCCATAAAATATTCAATTTTTGACCAGCAGAAATCCTTCTATAATGTGACCTGTTTATTTCTTGTAGACCATATTTCATTCAGACGATGCCCAGACCATTAAATTCTGCTCCTTATGTGTTATTTATATACTCCATTGGTGATCCAGACTATACAAAGAAAAGAGTCTTCCCATACTGCCTATCTTTTGGAGAGCAATTTGGAAGTTACAATAGGCAGAAGGATCTCAGTCAAATGGCTTTGCTTCAAAGAGAAGGCCACAGCAATTCTGTAAGACAGTTGGACACGGGGATATACCCAATGCATCCTTGGTGATAAAGACTGGGCTTGTACCAGGGAGATCCAAATTCAAGTCGCCCCTTGACCCCTGAGCTCACTGGCCAGCCATTCTTTTTCATTATAATCTAATCCACAGGAGATGAAATTAGCTACAGGTACAGCATGTCACTTGGAGCTCTCTGAGAAAAGATGACAGATGTTAAGTAGCAAAAAAAACAAAAGTGAAAAAAACACTCAAAGCTGACATAGCACTTCTGTCCTCAAGTCAAAGAGCTACTCAAAGTCATCCCCCCGCCCTGCCCATGCTAAATCCAGCTGGATCTCTGTAAGCCAGACCAGCCCTGGAGCCTAACACAGCCTTCTGCTGAACATGCTTAAACTACTGTTTTCCTCATAGCGCTCTGCCCACACCAGTCATACTTGTTGAAAAGGTTGAGGCCGATTCGGTACTGGCGGCGCTGCACCACGTCATTGTTGAAGGCAGGAGAGTCCCAGCTATGCCGCGTCTCACGCTGGTAGGTCTGCTTGCAGGGCCCGACAGTTGTTGTGGTGGCTGGGGCAGGTGGTGGCGGGTCACGCAGGCTGTCCCGTGAGGAGGATCCTGAGCTGCAGTTGATGGTCTCGTTGGAGTTGGTGGTGCTGTTGAGGCTGTCGTTGTCGCCATCTGAGTTGTCCGGCGGAGGAGGCGGAGGCAGGCGGCCTGGGGCCTGAGGAGGTGGGATGGGCAAAGGTGGAGGAGGCTGGCTTTGCTCGGGATGATAATGGCGGTGTGGGTGTGGGGAGCGGGCAGGCCCGCCAGGATGTTTGAGGGTGCCATGGGGGCTGCAGCCATCTTGCTCATACATGAGCCCCCGACTGAGTGAACCCCGATCAGAACGGTCGCTCAGATCCACTGAGCTGTCACTGGGAGGCTCAATTGTGAGCAAGGGCAGGTGAGCGCCCCGAAGGCGGTAGTCCCGGCATTCCATGCAAGGTGTGCTGCGCCGGCTCCCACCCCCATTCTCCCGGTTGTCCTCCCGCTGGGGCACCCCCCAGTACTCCGGCCGGGGGGGTGGTGGGAGGGGCACTCCCGGAGCAGGCTCTGGGGGCTCAGTGCTGGGGGGGCGCTCCAGAGAGAGGGGTGACGTGAGAGCGCCTTCGTCCAGATAGAGTGTGACATCACTGAATGAAGTGGCAGCACTGTCACCCTGCTGCTCCTTGGATTCACTTTTTTCCAAAGTGGGGCCACCAGGTCCTCCCTCCTGGCCAAGTGGGTGGCAGTTTAAAGCTTCATCAATCGATTCTGCCAAGGACTTCACCTATGGAGAGGCAGAAAAGGAGGTCAGCCAGGGCAGATTCTCTTTGACACTGTAATGGTGCGGGAGACTGGAGGAAGAGCCACAGACTGGACAACAGTCAGATAAGATGCAGATTAGTTTGCAGAAGGAATGGGGACATGGAAAATGTCTCAGAGGGGAACCTCCCTAATTTCTCTGACTGTAAAAAAAAAAGGGGGGGGGGGAACAATGGGCTTTCAGATTTGCAAGAGTCTATTAATGTAACCTTATCCTAAGGATAGATCTAATACTTTGGGGTGTGCTTCTTAACTGGACTACCTCGCAAGGCTGACAGGGGCTCAGTACATACTGTGAGAAAGAAGTGGGAAAAAACAATTCTCTACTGATTAAATCAATCCTGTACCTTATTTTAATTAATGAACTCCCATTTGAATAATCTTTTATGAAACATATGGTACTGCAACAGTGAGAAGACAAGTAAGTTACCAATGCAGAATGCAGAATTGTTATAGTATCAAGCTCATTATAGTATTGATGTACTGAAATGAAATCTGTGAACACAAGTGATCCAAAGCATGATTTATAGGCAAGATGCAGTTAATAGTTTTATTCACACTAAGTTTCTTCAGTACTGCTGTGATATTGTTTTTCTTCCATTAACTGGGAAAACATAGGATTCCATACAAGGTTTTCATATAATCTCTCCTATTTGCAAGGACTTTTGTTTGACATTTCCTTCAGTGCTATTGGGGGTGGGTGGGTGGGAGTCATCTGCAGTGCAATGTCAACTCGTGCTGTTGCTTTCCATGAGTAAGTCTGGGACACAGAATGGCAACCCAAGAGAAAGAAGCTAATGTTTCATTGCCATCGGTTGCAAGATTCAGCATAATACGATGAAGTGAGAATGGAAATATTTTCCATTCAGATATTCAAAAACCCCAAAGACACCTATGAATTTACCTGAACTTACTTATTTGGTACACAGTATTTCAGGCTTCAGAACAGTCTATGACTTGGAGTGAGTAGAGATTGCTTCCAGATCAGTAAGTACCATAAAGTAGTTGTTACACATTATATGAGAAGTCATTTTGAGGGAGAAGTATTAGGCCCATTATCATCTCTTTGTTGTCGTGTCAGAAAAATTGTCCATCTTGTTACTCATTTGCCAAGGCTAAAAATCAGTGCTTTTTAAATGAGACTCAAGAGGCTGTTTTCTGTGCCAAGGAATCCCTAGATGCAAAACTCAGACAACCCCTGGATATAACTCTTCCCTGCCATTTAATGGTCATCCGAGTTTTTGCAACCCAAACATGGTACAAAAAGCTCTGGGAGTATCTAATCCTGGGCAGAGCATGAAGAGGTTCTAACATGGTGAAACAGCAGAAACTAACATAAATGGTATTAAAAGGAACTCGGATTGTTAACCAGTCTATAAACATAATTTTAATAACACTAAAGTATGTTAATTATTTGATGCTGAACTTGATTGGTTATCCCTGTACTTTTGCATTCCACAACAGAAATACGCCATTAATTCTCTGAGGAGTATCTACTGTGTATGAATTAGTTGCGGTTCCTAGGAAGAGTCAGTAAAATAGAATTTCAGAGTAGAGGTGAAATTCCAACGAGGGATTTGCTAAGTCATGATCCATTTTTTATAGCTTGTCTCGGTATATACAGAACAATTATTCTTGCTGCTAATAAGAGGGTGAAACTTTGCGGCTAAGAATTATGATTGTAACATATTCAAAACCAACAAACCAGTGAGCCTTGGCGTTGTACTCATTAGTTTTCCAACATTTCTTTCCATTTTTTTTTCCTGAAAGAGGCTTACAAAGTAAAAACCACTACAACTGAAAACTCAAGTAATATCAAGGCAAAAATCAAGAAATGTTTCAGCTTCCAATGCAATCCCAAATGGGATTATCTTTTCTAAAACGGCTCATCCTGATTAGGGGCAGAAGATTTGTGAGGACACAAGGTTCCCTTTGCTTGCCCTGTGGGGTTATAAGCAAATGAATTCTTGCTGCTTTGCCTGGGGGGGGAGGGAAGATGTGGGTGAAGTGAGCTGCAAAAACAAATGAAAACATCAGCTTTGCCAGCTTCAACTGAGCCTACTTTGAAGTGGAAACCTGGACCGTGATGAAATAGAGCAGTTTTGCCCATCCTCTGCCTCTCTTCTATGTAGATGAAGCAGAGCCTAGTTGCAGCATAAGGAAAAGGCCCTTCAGGCCAAACATGAGACTCACAGGCTGGGGGTCCCCTTCTATGCATTGGCTTAGTTCAGGGGGCAGCAGAAGATACTTTGATAGCAGAGAAACAATGAGGTTTTGGGAAGGTCTGAAGAAGCATCAATGAAGCTGGAGAAGACAAAAAGGTCTCATTTGGGCAAAGAGTTTTAGAGTTTCAGGGAAAACTACCTGCTTGGAGAAGGAATCCTCCAGCTCCGTGATGTCATTGCAGAAGCCTCCAGAAGAGGAATGCAGGGAGACACCGTCCAAGCCAGCCCGGCAGGAGCCACCGTAGGGAAGGCCATGATCCAGCAGGTGAGGTCGAGCAGTAGCCATGGAGCCCTCATCCAGAGAGGCAGGTTTGCCTTCAAAGTAAGGGGCATTCTGGGCCTTGTCATATTCCTCAAACGAATATTGCATCCGCATGTTGGACAGGATGATGCGCCGTGACATACGGCTCTCTGATGCCGAACTTCTTAGACGCTCAAACTTTTTGTTCATGCGGTACTGGCGAAAGGCTGTTTGAATTGTACGAGCTGCCCGCCGGCTCAAGAAATAGCCCCCATACTTCCGCTCCAGCATCTCCACCTATGATGGGTATCAATAGGCAGAAGGGATTCGGAAAAGACAAGAAGGAGATGAGTGAGGAGAATAGGAAAATCGGAACATGAAGCTAAGAACAAGCCAAACAGCCAAAAAAGCTGGGATCTGAGCAAGATATCACGCAGGATTTTCTCAGAGCAAAAGGAGCCACAAGATATTGTCAATTTCCTCCAAAGAAATACATGAAGCAAGCTCAATCCAAAGCAGCCTATTGGTGTAGGGATGGCTCTTGAGTATTATGTCTTCAGGTCCTCAGGCACAGGCTTTCCCTCACTTGTTTTTTAACTGGAGGTGCTGGGGATTGACCTACAGCAGTGTTTCTCAACCTTGGCAACCTATTATATATTATGATGCATAATATTATATGTTAATACTAGAGCATGTGTTTTGCACATGGAAGGTTTGTAGGTCAGTGCTTCTCAACCTTGGTAACTTTAAGCTGTCTGGACTTCAACTTGTTGGCTGAGGAATTCTGGGAGTTGAAGTCCAGACATTTTGAAGTTGCCAAAAATGAAAAACATTGACCTGCAGAATTCTTCATGTGAAAAGCATATGCTCTAGTATTAAGCACTCTTTCTTAGGGTTTCTGCCTCTGTCTGCCCTTCCAATTTACAGATATTGGATCTTTAATCTTTTAAAGGCTTTTGTGGGACCATGTTTTCCTATTTCATAGATAGTTCCCACATTGACTGAATCTACAAAATCCTTTACTGCAGCCTTCAGACAACTCCCAAAATGCCCCACATTAATGCTGACTCACTGGACTTCAAGCAAGCCACAGGATCTTATTCCTGCACATCAGGAACCCCAGAAGCAAGGGTGCTCTCAAAGCTCAGCACAATCTATGACCAGATACCTTTTTGTCCTGAAGATCCGTTGAGAGCTCATAGCTGTCTGATAGTGCTGATCGTTTACTATCCTCCTCTTCCTGCTTCCTCAGCGCCACGCTGGCTGGCTGTAGCCGAGCTCGCTGGGCCCACGGAAGACCTGGTGACGGAGCGTGACAGACAGAAGAGGAAGATGGCACTAAATCATAGTGCTCAACCTTGGTCACCTCAGGGATACATCGGTATGGCTGACTGCCCACACTATCCACTATAGTTCCTGCCTCGCTTCCTGGAGGGTCTCCTTCCACACTGCAAGAAAGAGAAAAAAGGCTACATGAATGTGAATGAACAAAGGTTTTTTTTAAAAAATCATAGAGATCAAGAGTGTACCAACACCGTTTTGAACTCAGAACACTCCTCATAATGCTTGAAACCAGCCATTTTGCACTTGCAAGCAGTCACTTTCTTCTCAGAATGGCGGCTCCATGGAACATTTTGCACTCCCTTAGCAGCAATCCATCAATACTGTACTTTTGTACTATTTACTGTACCTTTCTCTCACATTATAGACCAATTCAGCCATGGAGAACTACAATTAATCTGTTGCACAAATTCTTTCATTGAACAAATTTCACAAATCCCTACTACAGATAGTCCTTACTTACTGACTGCCTCCTTCGCTGACTGTTCCAAGTTATGACGGCACTGAAAAAGTAGGCTTACAATCAATCTCGAAAATTGTAGCATTCCAGCAATCATGTGATTGTGGTCTGGCTGCTTTGCAATTGGAATATATTTATGATCACTGCAGTGTCTTTTGGGTCATTAAGCACAACATCCTATGATCACTATTTGTGACTTTCACTGCCAGGTTCCGACAAGAAAAGTCAGTGGGGAAGCCAGCAGGAAGTCGCAAGTTATGGTCATATGATGTTGTGCTTAATGATATGTGGTGCTTCAATTAATGACCACAGCAGAACAGATGCTCTAAGTCCAGCGTGGTCACATATTTCACTTAGCAACTGCATTGCTTAGCAATGGATCTGTCAGTCCCAATTGTGATCAGTAAGTGAGGACTGCCTGTGATCACAATAATTCTAGATTAATTTTTTCTCAGCAACATTTTGTTCTTATTCTCCTGAAGTAAGAAATAGACCCTGAAGCTTCTATTAGCATGTATTTCCTGAATGTAGAACAGGAGATGGGGGTGGGGGAGGCTGATAGATCAGAGGAATAATATGAAGGTAAGGGTTAAACCTTGATATAATCCACTCCAACTGTTTTGCGTTTGTTTTTCTTTTTTAGGAGAAGCAATTCTTTGTGCCCTGTAAAACTCCTACTGGAATAGTCATCTATACTTGTGAAAATCCAGAGGATGTTCCTTGCTTCTTTCAGCCACACCAGCTTGCCTGGGTTCTTCCAGGAGGACATTTCCTATCTATGAAAACTACTCTGTCATCTTTCGATCAGAAGGGAACTTTTGTAAAATAGAAAATTTCACGAGAGTTGCAAGTGGATGACAATATAGCTGACCAAAGACAAAAGGAATTCTATCCAACACATGCACATCAGCTGTCTGCGTCAAATAACATATGCAGCAAATCACACTGCAAACTCTGCTCCTTTTGTAGTGTGCCATGACATCACATACATATACATTGAGAAGCAGAACTTATAGTGATGGAAAACAGTATTTGATCCCCTGCTGATTTTGTACATTTGTCCACCGACAAAGAAATGATCAGTCTATAGTTTTAATGGTTGTTGTTAATTGCGAAGTCATGTCCGACCCATCGTGACCCCATGGACAATTTTAATGGTAGGTTTATTTTAACAGTGAGAGGCAGAATAACAACAAAAAAATCCAGAAAAACTCATTTCAAAAAAAGTTATAAATTGATTTGAATTTTAATGAGTGAAATAAGTATTTGATCCCCTATCAATCAGCAAGATTTCTGGCTCCCAGGTGTCTTTTATACAGGTAACAAGCTGAGATTAGGAGCATTCTCTTAAAGGGAACCTCCTTCTCTCAGCCAGGGCATTGAAAATGGGTCATGGATGGGTATTCTGGCATGGCAATAACCCAAAACACACAGTCAAGGCAACAAAAGAGTGGCTTAAGAAGAAGCACATTAAGGTTCTGGAGTGGCATAGCCAGTCTTCAGACCTTAGCCCCATAGAAAATCTGTGGAGGGAGCTGAAGGTTCAAGCTGACAAATGTCAGCTTCGAAACCTTTATGACCTGGAGAGGATCTGCAAAGAGGAGTGGGACAAAATCCTTCCTGAGATGTGTGCAAACCTGGTGGTCAGCTACAAGAAACATCTGACCTCTATGATTGCGAACAAGGGTTTTGCCACTAAGTAAGTATTAAGTCATGTTTTGCGAAGGGGTCAAATACTTATTTCACTCATTAAAATGCAAATCAATTTGTAACTTTTTTGAAATGCATTTTTCTGGATTTTTTTGTGTTATTCTGTCTCTCACCGTTAAAATAAACTTACCATTAAAATTATAGACTATAATTTCTTTGTCAGTGGGCAAATATACAAAATTAGCAGGGATCAAATATTTTTCCCCTCACTGTATGAATTATGAAGAACATTTCATCATTTTGACGCAAACTCTGGATTCATCTGGAGATCTTGGAATGCACCAAGAGGGAACCAAGTTGGAGAAGGCTGCTCCGTTCAGCTATTGCATCATAACTTTGACAAGTCCAGACTCCCCTGAACAGATGCATTCTTAAGCACAATAAGCATGTATGTTGTACACATCTGTTTTAGATAACAGTATCGGGTCTAATAAAATCAAATATACATTTCTAAAACTTCAGCACAGCTTAAAATTCACAAAGACAAACAAAGCTCACTTGGCATGTTTGTAAATAAAATACATTGGTGCCAAGGGAACTCTGGGCAAGATGGTTGCCAGGGACAACCAGTTATCTGGCAAGGGATGAATTCTGACAGGATGTGAACGTGAAATGTGGGGTTTCCTGCATGCAGGGGTCCAGACAGACCTAGACATGGCACTGGATATTTGCCAACAGCCTCATTTGCTAGTCTCTGGGAAACTCTCAAAAGCAAATGACTGAGACTGAGCTTTTACTGCCTAGAAAACTGATAGATCACAAGTTATTAAGGCCTGCTTCCAGTTTACCAAACCAGGAAGAAATACTCACTCCGTTGGGCAGGAGAAATTTACACTAGAATCACGCCCATCCCTCACTGTAACTTCACTCACCACCCAAATGTGTTCTCTCATCATCATCATCCCTAAGGAATGCAACTCCAAGTAGGAAAAATGTTCCTCAACATCCCTAACAGTCACATATGCAAGATGGGCAGCTGTGCAAACTGAATAAACAAATATATTCTAGAAAATTACAGTGTTGGCTGTGCCCCACAGGGGGTAGATTAGTGGTAGCCAAATAATCTGGTTTGCCATTCCTAAGGGATATTTTTTTGTATTTTTTATTAGACATTACATTTATTAACTACCATTAAAAAGAAGGAATAAAAGTATTATTGTCAGAACAAATTGGACTAAATAGGTCAGAGGACTGATCCAGTAAAATATAGATAAAAAGGAATAAAAGGAATTTAACCTGTGGAGGTTACAGTTTTCCAGTACATCATAAATCAGCTGTAAATAACTGATCATATTAAATCACATTCACATTCTAAAATAAAAATTAATACCAATAACCATGATCAATGCAGTATAACTTACCAAGTAAATTATAAGCTATAATAAAGTTCAATCCATATTACTAAGAGTCTGTTCTGATTTAAATAAACTTGTAAAACTGAATTATATAGGCCATATACATAGAGAAATGTACATTTTGGATGTGGTGGAATTCCCTAAATTAAATTGTAGTTTAGGAATGGTTTCCAGTTGAGTTGAATTCCATGTCAGATTTACAAAGTTATTACAGACATCAAAGCTTACTCCCACAGCTTGGTTAGCCATTTTTCCACAGAGGGTATCAAATATCCTTTTCAGTAAAAAGCTTATAGTATCTTTGTTATAGTTAGCATTTACAGAGATAATTCAGTAAAATTACTTTGAAAGAATATATGTTTAGCCAGAATATTGAAAGTTGAAATGGAAATTGAACTTTAGTTTTTTATGCTCTTCCCACCTCCTTGAATGGCCAAAGGCCAAAGGCTAAGTTGTTCTTCATTCCAACTGATGCAGTGGTGGGATTCAGCTGGTTCGCACCATTTCGGCAGAACCAGTAGCTAATTTTTTGTTGCCCAGGCCCAGAATGGACTTCTGGAACCGGCATCCACACAGAGAACCAGTTATTCACATATTTGAATCCCACCACTGAACTGATGCACAATAAAAGGAGTGTAAGCAATTCTACTTTGCCATGAAACTTACACCTGCCAAAATCCCCAATTCTTCATAAGAATTATACAGCCAGTGAAGAATCCCTATCTTTTCTTTTCCCTTTTGCACATTCATTCTACTTCTAAAAGCTCTTAAAAAGCTGAGTTCTTCTGCTTAAAAGTATAGTACTGGAACTTTATCCTCATTGGACTAAAGTGTTTTTTCTACTTTTAGCCCAACAATACCTTGGTTCTCCTATACAGAACTTTCAGACAATATACGAGAGTGTAGATTCTTCTCAGATTGAGATGATGGCCTGTAGAGGGCTCTGGACAGGAGACATTGTTGGGGTAAATTCAGCCAACTCGATTAGATGTCTACCTAATCTACGTCATTCCTCTACATTCCAATCTACCAATCTTAACAATGTCTAAAATAGACCACTCAAAGAAACTGTCTTTACTAGCCACAATATAATGCCTCTTTCTCTGTTTACGCTTGTGTCGTGTGTTCACATACGCTTTTCCTGGTCTGGTCTGGCTTCTACTCTAAAAACTTATTGCAGCTTTACCAGCACTACAGGTATGAGACTCTGGAAGGCTCCAGACTGGAGAAGGTTGACTTATTTAAAAAAGGTTATTTAGCAACCAACAACATAAACCCATGCAATGACTTTTCTGGTCTGAAATACCTAGAAACTTAATCATTCATAGCACTTCCAAGTCACTAAAGCAGTGGTTCTCAACCTTTTTAATGCTGCGACCCCCAACCGGTCGTAAGTCGAGGACTACTCAACCGGTCGTAAGTCGAGGACTACTCAACTGGTGCAGCACCGTTTGCAGAATGGGACTTTTGGCGGGCTCAGCAGGGCAGAGACAGCCTGGACAATTCCTATTGGTTTTTGAAAGCCAATAGAATTAGATTCTATTTAAGAGAGTCTATTTTATTGGCTTTCAAAAGCCAATAGAATAAAAGGGAGTAGCACAGCTAAGGAAAAGGGGGGAAAAATGGCGGACTGCGTTGTTTGGCGACCCCCGTGAAATGGTCGTTCGACCCCAAATGGGGTCCCGACCCACAGGTTGAGAACCACTGCACTAAAGG